GCTGGTCTCTGTTCAGCGGTCGCCTTCCATCTTCATCGCGCCCGCCGCGTATATCGGCGCGTTCGTCTGCATCCGAGAGGCAGCAGGCGGCTCCTTGTCGCTCGGCCGCGTACCTGAGCCGCGTCGGCCGAAGGATTAATCCGTGTGTACGTGCACCGGGCCCCGCTCCTCGCCCCGCCGCCCCGGCTTTCCGCGTGCACACGTTTTCTGCGCGGCTATATAAGCAGCCTCGGCCTGCGGAGTCCTCCTTCGTGTGTGGCTCCTTTCAGTCTCATCGCGGATCCCGGTATCTCGGCCGAGCGGCTCGAGATAGCGGATTGATTCGGATGGGATCGTCCGCGGTTCGATCCGGCCTCGGAGATTTGGGACGCGGATGCTCGATAAGGGGACCATGGGAAAGTAATTGGGGATGAAGGGATCTGCTGCTCGAGGTGTTCGCGCTTGTATTAGTCAACTGGAGCGGGATGCAGTCTCCGTGGCTTTCCAACGAGCGCCGTATCGGGGAAGAGATAGTTCGAAGCATCCTTCGAATCGACGCTTTAGATACATTAAATCCAAATTTTCGAGCATTTGTGAATCGAAGGTGTAGTCTCTGTAGCTTTCCAACGAGCGCCGTATCTGAGAAGAGATATTTCGAAGTTTCCTCTTCGAGTCGACACTTTAAGTACATCAAATCCGAATTTTCGAGCGTTTGAGAATCGACACGCGTAGGACACTTCGTGTTTGAGTTTCCGAATATTCGAGAATCGAAATCTTTAGGATATTTCGTATCAGAAGTTCGAAACGCGAGAAAGACGGAACGGCGAGCCATTGAATACCCGACGCACAAAGCAAAAGCGACTCGTTCGACAACTAGCGCCGAAACCCGTGAGCACTTTAAAAATGCCCGCACCCAGCTGACGATCCGCAGGTTCCTCGCACCTGGCGCATCCCCCGCACAAAGCGCTCTTTTTCCCGGGGCGAGAAGGGAAAGCCGTCGTCCGCGACGGCGAGCAACGCGGCACCGGCGGCCGTCGTCTTTCAGGAATTCCGTTTCGCCTTTGTCGCGCGGAATTCTTCGGTATAAGAGGTATACACGCGGGGAGGAACGGTTTCGCAAGGCAACGGGCGAGCGAGCGAGCGAAGCGGTTAGGCCCGACGATGGCATCCGAGATTTAGAGTCTCTTTTGCTTCCCTCGCCGGCGTGCCAAGTCCCGGCATTCCGCGTCCGAGGGAGAAACGGCATTCACGAGCGGTGACGGTCCTCTCCCAGGACGCGTCTCGTTCCTCCGTTTCGACTTTTCGATGGAAAACGGCTGGAATCCGCGCCTCCGACGTTTACGATCGCGTTATGAATCAGCGGCGCACGGGATATATTCTCCGTTGCCCCTTAATCCTCCCTTTGCCCGATCGGGGCGGCGAGAGATCGAGGATTTGCGCGCGACCGCTTTATTAACCCCTTCACAGACCCGATGAATGCCTCCGACGGTATCCGGCGAATATTAATTCGCTTCTTTAAGATCAAATTAACCCCTCGCTCTCGAACCTCTCTCGCTAGAAGTATTCGAGATCCTCCGATGAAATATGAACGGCGCTTTTGAAGGCTAGTTTATGGAGGAATTGCACTTAAGCCGGCGAACAAAGCTATTTCACTTCACTCAGAAGCCAATGCTTTCGATCTTTCGATGTTCCTTGATTTTCTTCAATTTTCATGGAACAATATCCTTAATTATTCAAAGATTTACTCGTGTCTATAAAACCTTCTTTTCGCGTCTTCCGAATATGTAATATGAAACATCTCAAATTTTCTTCCCCAAATTTCGCAATTCACTTCCGAACGACTCGTTTCATGCATTTACAACTTGCATATTCGAATATCGCATATCCAAAGGTTCACATAATCAGTATTTACGAGTTTAGCCTATAATTCCGCTTTCTCCGTTGAACGTATCGACGATTTCGAAAAATCCTCGTCAAAAAACGAACTCGAAACATC